CCTTAAATTCCTTCAGTGCTCTTCTTTTAATCCCTCATACTAATGTTATTTATGCAGTGTTTATTAAAGGTGGTTTCTAATTTCAGGTGCCTCACTAGAAGCACCCAGCTGCTAGAGGTTTGCACACCTCCATCTGACATAGTGGAAGCAGTGGGCAATACCTGGTCTCATCTCCTTCCCTATGACTGCAGTAACACATTCCCACTTTTTCAAACACCACTGCTCAGCACAAATGGCTACTCAAGCTATATTTCCTTAAAAAGGTGGGAGTTGGGGAAGCATTGGCTATTTGGACACTTGCAGGCAAAATACGTTTTTTTTTAAGTAAGAAGATCCCAGCAGATGGATTGCTTGAAGGAAAAACATGGAGCAAAATGCCATAGCTAGTCCAAATAGTTACAGCCAAGATGAAATGTGAAACTGAAACCCAACTTGTTAATTGTATCTTGGCAGTGTGCAGTTGCAGGTAATGATTGTCTTCACAGTCCAAATTCTCATGCACTTCCCAGCTCATGAAATGGAAAGTTGAGAACATAATCACCCCGAGTGGCAGACAGAGCTGGTGGATGGCAGCTTTGAGCTACTTGGAAAATCCAAAAGAGTCTCAGCCTTTAGAACAAGGAAGGTTCTATAGTGACCCTCCAAAGCACCTCACAACGAGGAGTTTCCTTTTGCTCACTATGCACAACAACAGAAGTGGTGGTATGGCCTCATCAACAACCAGGACAACAAAACAACTTTTAAGTTGTTACAGTTTTAAGGACAAGGAGAAGGTGATAACCAACCTCTACCTGCAGCACCATGTAAGAGCACTGTGAGTGTTTCTTCCCCCCTTGGAAAAAGTAGGTAGATGTGGAGAAAGAGTTAGAGAAGTTCTTACCCTCCATTCCACCCTGAATTTTCTAGAATTTATGGCTGCTGGAGAGCCAGTTTTGAGTATTCACTTACCTGGCACATGCAGGTGAGAATTTGGTCTGTTATAAAGTGGAAGAGTTAAAGGCAAGAATGGACCACTACAATCACCCTTTCTAATCTCTAATGTACTTAATTTCAATTCAGTAACCCCATAAAGAACCACATAACCATCTATTTAAGTAAATATCTGGCTAAAACATGTCTTCTGAAAATATATTAGTCCTTGTCTTAAGAAGAGTACATGAACAATCACTCCTTAGGAGGTTTTTCTCAGTAATAAAAATTATTTCAAAATTAAGCCAAATTTCTAATTTGAGCTTACTTACCCTCAGGTTCCAGATGTCTGGGACATACTTCACCAGTCTCCACACATTCTCTTGAGCCATTCATTTTTTGGTAGTACCATCTTACCATGAGGGTACTTTATACTGAGCAAGTCAGCTTTTAATCTTCTTCCTGATAAAGCTAAACCAGCTCTCCATTGAGGCTCTCCTGCTAAAGATTCCAGGCCTCAAATCTGTTTGTAGCTCTCTGTGAAATCTTTAATCAATACCTAGGCAACTAAAATGTCTGTCACAAAATAAAGGATACTGAGACAAAAAAGGGGCATATGAGGAGAAGGAACATGCACTTCAAACAGCAAGTCTACAGCATTACAAAATACAGCATTCTGACCTTGACTTCATCTGTTTTACTCTGTTTTGTTAAGTTCCAGCCTTACCTTTAAATCTCCTACATGTACGGGAACAAAATATGAGGGAAACCATTGTGTTTTCATGTCTGAGGACAAATTTGAGACCCCCCCTGAACTGTAGAGAGAAGTGCTGAGGCAGTGTCCAGCCAGAGGCTGGGATTAAAGAGGTGTGCAGAGTGTACCCAGGACAGCCCCTGGAACCCAAACAGGGCACTGATATTTGGGCTGCAGGCTGTGGCTATTCAAGGACCCAGTTCATGTTTGCTAAGCTGTTAATTACAGTGTAGGACTTCGTTTCTAATACCAGTGACACAGCAGGAAGCTCCCAAAGTCCCTACTTCACCCTTCCCCACCAGCACCAAGGGTACACCGTACTACTGTTACTTTACTTTCACATCATTATGCTTTTAAAAACCATCAGATCACAGCTGCAAGAAGGAGCCATCCTTGGAATGGCGTATATTTAAAAGAAAGGCAATTTCCAATTACTACAGCCTGTAAAAGCCAGAGATCAGATTCAATTACACTGCACTTTGCAATTTACAATCTGTTGGTGTTCATTTCAGCAGAGGCTTGTTAAATGCTCTCTTGCTGCAGACCTTCAAAATGTTCTTGCCAACTGAAAGAGCAGAGGTTCTTAGTGGAGCCTTACCATAGCTCAAGCCATTAAAATCTGGGTCAGACTCCAGCCTCTACTCAGAAACCCCACTTAGGCAAGGGTGGCACATGGCTGGGCTTCAGCCCAGTGAAGGAACTGGTGAGCAAAGCTGCTGTGAGCACACATTTAAAATGTGAACTCACCAGAACACATAAATATGCAATATGTCAGATTCTGACCGGCTCACTGACCTATTATGGCTCTAAATCCAGAATCTGAATGTCCTTGGATGTGAGAACCCCGGGTTTGGTCTGGGGTCTCATGTGGTGGTAAAGTCTCTCCTCCAAGCCGTGCTTCCAAAGAAAAACTCCTCAGCCTCTTGCTGTTTGGTCTCAAGGCAGTTTATTGTGAGTTATCTGAAAGATTGCCCAGGCAGAGACACACACACATCCTGACATCCTCTCTGTCTGCTGTCCTCTTCTTCTCTCCCCCCGCCCAGGGCTGCTGCTGTCTTTTATATGATATATTACATGTTATATGTTTACAGTTTTTCCCCCAATACCTACTACCTATGGTGCTTTTCTACTCTAAACCAATCTGTGAGTGCCAGCATCACCAAGAACATGGAGGCAAGGAAGAAGAAGGAGGAAGAACAGGATCAGCCCACTTTCCTCCATCTTAGAACTTCTGACCCCCATGTACAAAGTAAAAACCCTCCTGTACAGGTGCTAAAACCCCCCTGTACAATACTAAAAAATTTTCCCCTCTACTTTGTAACTACTTCTACTATACTATCTAACCCTTTGTGACTGCTTGCTCCATCTTCAAAGTTGGTAACTCATTCCATGGCTCAAACTCAAAATCACAGCTGTTTCCAGCTGCCTGCCGGGATCTAAAATGCTTCTGACCAAGGCCTGGAACCTCTAAAAATGTCTGAGGGACATTTTGAGTTCCAACACTTGGATTTTCCTTTTTTAAGAGAGAGGCTCTCTGGCTTCACAGTTTGGTTGCTATTGCTGTGGCACATAAGTCCTCAGAGATAAAAAGGATGCAGGGAAGGTGCTTGTCCTGATGTTTCCTGATGCACATTCAGCAGATCCACAACTCAAGGGAGGTGGCAAAATCCAAGGGAAGCGCCACAAAGGCAGTAGATTCCCAGGCAGGTGATCTTTGCAAGCCTCTTCTCAAAAGTACAATGCCAAATATTGCTTAGGGATGCTACTGTAAAAATTAAGGAGCAGTGGTAAAGTCAATAGAATTGTATCAGTTCATACCAGATCAAAATGTGGTGCTCTCTAGGAAACTATGAATCAGTGGTATGTACTTGATTAATTGCAAACAAAGGTTTCCAAAGAATCCCTGGCTCAGGAAAAATGCAAAGTGTCTTTTGATGTGTTACAACAAAGCTGATAGCAATGACATTTGCAAAAATGGAAAATTATTACATTTCTAAATTCATCCCAGGGCTAACACAGTCAATCCTTCCCCCATTTCTGCACATCCACTGGTATGGACCTTGTCAAATACCTGAAAACATGAAACTAAAGCAGAGGAGGAGAACAACAACAGAAACACCAGCAAGCATCCCTCTTAGTAGTTAAAGACATATTTTCCAACAAGAAATTTGCCAGAGACACTGAACTGATCCGCTAACAAGACAAATCAAAATTATTTAAGATTTATTTAGGAGACCAGATACCAACAAAAGTCACTGCTATTAAATCTTGCCTGTTAACAATGGCTCAGTGTAAAATTAGCATATTCCTGAATGGGCTCTTGCCCTGAGGTTGTGGTTCTTTACCTGCAGTGTAGTAGTGCAGTGCACCATGAAAGTTCAAAGTAGGCAGCTGCCTTTGCAGATCGTGGGATGCATTAATTTTGTGTATTCTATTTGCTTTTATTTTAAATATTGTGACCTCTCTGCTCCCCTTTCTGCATTTCATTTTTAAGTTTGCCTTAGTAATTTTTAGTAATTTTTCATTTTTGTATTGGTTTTGGGTGTGGTGGAAGCCAAACATGCTTATCTGCTATTGTTCCACTAGTACTGAGCTACATTACCAGTGGCATGAGCTACAGGGGTTTTGTGTAATCAGGATAAATCAGAGTGATTTCAGAGAAATGCAAGAAGTCAAGCTCAGATTGCACAAATTGCTCCAAAGTCAGAGGAGGAACCAGGTCATATAGCAGCCAGCAACCCAAAACCAAGATTTGAACAGGTGTCAGTTGACCCTCCTGCCATGAAGAACGATCAGAAAAAGCACCAGGGGAGGATGGATGGGAACGAATCCTGAAGGAGCTGCAGGCAGGAGAACCCTGGTTCTCTCCCAAGTCCAAGGACTGCAAAAGCATGCAGCAGCCTGCAGGGTTGCTGGCTCTATCCGTGCCAGTCCTTGGGGGAGCACAGCCAGGGTTGCCCTTGGGCAGCAGCCAGCAAGAGGTTTTGACCCTAAACAGTGGGGCTAAGGAGATTCCAAGGAGGAGATAAAGTTGACTTTGGCAGCCTTGAGGAAAATTTCAAGGCAGTTTTTGAGGTGAAATGAGAGGAAAGCTAGGAGACAGGCAAACTTGGAAATGCAGCAGCTGCAATATTCATCAGAATTTAAGTCACATATGGATTAAAAATGAAGACATAACTTCTGCGCTATGAGTATCACTAGGAAAAGGAGATGGGCAATTCAGTCTAAAGGGTGTTTTAAATCTCTGTTTTTAGCTAAAGAAACTAAATGTTAACAGGAGACACTGACATGAACTTGGCTTTTATAAGGAAGAACTTTCCCTTCCTCCTCCCAGCAGGGCAGCAAGCCAAGCTGCAAGCCGACGATCAAAGGTCAGGCAGCGCTGCTGAATCTCACCAGTTCTCAGGATCTCCGCTGGAAACAAATGCTTTCACAGCTGAGCACGTTTCTAAGGGCTGCTGAAAGCTACATTTCAATTAATGCAGAGGTAATACACTTTGGGTTCTGGGTGACATCAGCATGGAGATATTTCGGGTGGCAGTGAGTCAATTCTCTGTTCCTAGCAGGGCTGCAGGCAGCGCTGGGAACAGGGAGGCAGCTATGGTCTCCCCTGCCAGGAGGGGTCTGGGGTAGGGAAGCATCCACTTTTGCTGCTTGCCCTGTGCTAGGTTTTATGGATAAGCTGAATTTGGTTTCTGTGATTATCCTACCTCAGAACAAGACCAAGCTTCTGCAGATGGAAAGGCTGAAAACGTGAATTTTGAGAGCCAGATTTTGTCTGCACTACTCAAGTAGGTCTTCGAGGACTACCTGCCTACATTCCCCAAAAGTTCACATCTCATCACTTCTGTTGGAAAGTAATACATGTGTGTGTGTTTTTATATATATCTATATATCACTTACATGAGCTCACACAACTGGGGTCACACAGATCATTAGTTAGGTAAGGGACCACGCAGCATTTCACATTTCCTGCAAAAAGACCCATAGGTTTCTCTCAGTTTGAATCTTGGCTATAAACTGCATTCCACTTTTTGACCTTGAGCTGTTGGAAAGTATTTTCTGGACTAGACAATTAGGAAGAAAGTGGAACAGTATATGAAAATTGGTGTGGGGTTATGTACTTTTGAGCAGGGTGGCCTTGGGCCATTGATGGCAGATAGACCACACCTGTGTGAATTTTTCTGTCCCTCAGAATGGTATGAGCAAGTTACTGAAGGAGAAATTTAGAAGAAAAACTTAAGGATCTGTCTGAAAAACATCATACTGGTAAACAAAAAGGTAAGGAATTGGACTTTTTTTCCCCCATGAGGCTGTGCCTGGCAACTCCCTCCTGTTCTGTCACATTCATACACCACAGTGCCTGGTGGAAAACTAAGAACTTAAGAAGGGAAATGGAAAAATCATTCATCTAAAATGGATGGGCTAAAATAGAGATAAAGAGGAAATAACAGATACTATATCCACAAACACTGATTAAGTTGTGGGCGTTAATGAAGAACAAAACTTTCCTTCATTGAGCTAAAACAGTAGTTTGGACTGAACATTACCCAATGTGCATAAAACAGAGAAATAAAGCTGTATATTTTTTTAATGAATGAAATTCTCTTGGGAGATGGTTGGCACCAAGTCTAAGCACAAATGAAGATCCACTTCAACCCATAGCATAGGATTTAAAGCCATAGACTTCTTTTTACCAGGGCTCATTTCATCCTCCAGCAGGCAGAGAAAGGAACAACAGAGGAAACCAATCCAACAGCCTTAGGGAAAAAAGAAAACTCAACAACTAGCTGATAAGTTGGAAAATAGCAGCTCAGCATGCCTTGTAGGTTTTCCTCCTCCTTTTAAATTATTGCAGCATTTATTCCTCCACACTCTATTCAAGTTCCTTGTATATTCATCACTTCAGGAAGGAATCTGAGTGGAGTGGCAATGCATAGCCAAGTAAATGATTTAGATTTACTTATGGCTTTCTCAAAAAAAAAAAAAAAAAAAAAAAAAAAAAAAAAAAAAAAAAAAAAAAAAAAAAAAAAAAAAGCAGGTTTATCTTTGTATCAGCAGATTTTGGAGATGTGCCAACAAAGAAGGTAAAACACAAGGAAAACAGTAATTCCATTTCTTTCTGCTTAGCAATTACCTCCTCAATTAAAGTCAGAAGAATTTTTTTCCATGTCTTTGTCATATTGTTGTTACCCAAAACTGCCGCTTGTTCATGAAATAATCTTTACCTTATGTAGTGTTTTAAACCCTATAGTGACAGATCTCTGCATAGGATACCTCCACATTAGCACAGAGCTTCCTGACCCCACTGTGGCTTAGCAAAGATGTGGAGCTCTCTGCACGTGGAGGCCACATCAGCAAAAACCATCAATCAAATTCTACATCTCACAAAAAACCCCAAACCACCAGATTTCTATATACCTGTATCTTCTTTGCCAGAGCAGTGCCACTGTGGAAAAACTGAGATGAAGAGGGCAAAGTTTCCTTTCTTACTTTGTATCAGGGCAAAGAGAAACTGGCTTTCACTTGCTGCTTTTCTCCTAGGTCTGCTGCTCCAGCTGACCTTTGAGCAGGACACAGAACATGGTGCAGAAAGCAGCATTGTAGCTCAGCTCCCTTGAATCACCCCTTTTTCCACGTGGAGTTTAACCTCATTATCACCTCTGTCACACTCAAAAATGGACCCTTGACATCCACAGACTGTGATTTCATCTGTGCTCCACCTCCCACAGAGCACTTAGTACTGAAATAAGGATGACTGCATTTCTTTAAAAGTTTGTCACATTTCATTTTGCAGATCAAAAAATTAAGCCATCGTTTGTATCAAATTCACCCACTCCAGTTACTTTGCATGTAAGCTTGATTTCATTAATTGTTCTGCACACTGTATTCATTTTGAGATGAAAACCCCAGCCAGAGTCAGGTCCTGCTGAAAGCTCTGACTCATTCTCATATTTCTCTTTGCTCCAGGGCCTCTTTCTTCCTAACCTTTATATTCTTTCAATATAAAAAATACTCAAAAACCCCCAAAAACCCTCTTCCCCCATTTACTGATGCTAGCAAGAGTAAATGGTTTTTGTTCACAGCCTTAATATATAGCATCATCACCATTCTCCCCCAGGTTTTCAATGAAGCAGCCTAATTCATCTCATCAGTAGTCACCAAAATCAGTTGAAACATTTCTATGGATTCCAATGGGCACTGAAATAGGCCATTATAAAACCTAACTTGTACAGTTTTACTAAAATCTACTTCGTTCTAGGTGATTTTTTTTTTTCCAGAGAGGATTTTAATACTTGAATCCATTATTTAAGTTACAGAGCAGCCCATAGACCTATGGCTGCCAAAGTGAAAATAAAATGAAACACTCATTGAAATTATGCATGCAACACACACAAGAGCTCTGCTTCTTCCAATCTAGGATGGGAAAGGACTTCTGGAATTCAACAAATTAGTGAACATCACCAAAAACCTTCAAGCATTTCAGTTAACCTGGTGAGCAATCAGAAAGCAAAGGAGAAGACAGCCTTTTACCAGTCTCCTCTCTGGTGTTTGGTGTCAGAATTTAATCTTTGCTAACCTCTGACAGATGCACCAATACTCTTCCCCCAGGTATGAGGTGGCTCCCCTTTGTTCTTCACACATTCATCTGTGCTGAGGACAGCTGCAGCACTTCAGCTACAACAGGTGAGAAGTCCTAAGCTCCCATGATGAAGTCAGTGGCAGGCAAAGGTTCATCAAAAAGGGGGCTTAATTATCTCTTTTTCCTTTATTAACACCTATTGAATCTCATCTTGTAATCTCAGGCAACACTTCTCACTCATGGTGTGCCTGTGAATGAGAACACATTCAGTGTCTGGCACAGCCCTTCTTGCAAGTGTTTTGCTGGTGCTGCTCTTTCTTCTCCTGGTTTTCAAAATCTGATTGTGATTTGCAACATGCAAAACACCCCAGCAGAGATCAGCATTTCAAGGTGGCTTGCATTTCTTAATGCTGTTTCCTCAGCACATCACAGAAATACTTTCATTCTCACTTATCATAACTTTGGATATGTGAGGTGGTGGGATTGCTTCACACAGCAGTGAGTGCAGAGCAATATCACTACATCCACTACAGCTACACTATACAGAATTTGGGAAGTTTTCCTCAAGGAAGGGATAATTCAGCTTAGTCATAGTCTCATTTATATCAGATTTTCTCATCACAGGGTCATGACCCAGCTGAGATGACTTAATGTTCTATAGACTTCAGAACCAAAGTCCAAGAAAAAGAAAAATAATACCACATCAGTCTTCAGCCAGGTTGAAGACTTTTCCTCCTTCTTGGCAGGAAAGCCAGCATCAGCAGCATTATGTAACCCACACATCATGGGCCCCAGGAGCCACTGTTTCATCCTGCTCTGCTCCTTGCACTTTCACACTACTCCCTAATGTCTCTTCCCAAAACTGGTACCTACCAGCCCAGCCCGAGGCTTTCAGGCCCTTTTACAAAGATCTTGCTTCCTTAAATCCTCAGTCTTCATTCCTGCAGATGTCCTGCATGTCCTTGCCAGAGTATTCCCTTCTCACGAGGGTTTGTCTGCTCCCGTCACGTGGGGTGAATAAATTGGAATTAAGGTTGAACTCCTGCTCCTCTGAGGGGTCCAGCTCAGCATATGTCAGGATGATCTCCACAAGGGGTAGCTTGGCCCATTGGCATTCCACCTCCATTCCACCTGAGCTCCTGAGACACTGGCTGCAGCTCAGCAGGACAGATGGACACATCTAACTTCAAACATGAGAGCAGCCCCAGGAATCAGAGTAGTGGCATTGCCTACTCGCCCACCTGAGTGCTTAACTGACCTAGCTTTGGCTCTGGATTTAAATGCTGGAGGCTGAGTCTTTGCTTGCTGCTTTAAAGGAACTGAACAAGCCTCCTTTTTCAGATACTGAACTCCAGCTGGTTTAGCTAATGTCAGGGGAAATCATGAGTCCTTTGGAAATCGCTGAAATTTAGGCACATAATGTGTAAAAGAAGATTGTACAAACAATGCAGCCAAATAAGTAAATCTTGGTGAAAGAACAGCCATTTACTGAGGAAACAGCATACAGAGAAAAGGAATTAGCTGGGAAGTACTGTTTTGTAAAATTATTTGTCCAATTTCCGTGTAAGCCATCAGCAAATCTTAGACATTACCTTGGAGATTTCCAGCCACTGGAACATTGCTGCCAGCTCTCTATTTCCGTGCCACAGAGATAAAAAAGATCTACTGAACAGTCCTCCCTTGCTTCCATGCTGCTCTTACACAACTTTCCCACTATTTTCTACATGGTGACATTTTTAAACAATAAAAACTTCCACCTGGCATAGGAGACTCTTGCTCTCTCTCTCTCCATTTCGAAAGCACAGAAGAATCAGTGATTCACCATGGCTAACAAAGAATGAAGGGGCTGCAAAATGGCTCTAGAAAAGAAATATCAGATGTACAAGTTCCCTGTTGTGGGAAATGAAGCCATCTCTGCCAGCCCTGCACTGCCACTGCAGCACAGAGTTCTTGGTGCAGACAGTCATGAAAAGAGTCTTGGAAAGAGACCCTAGGAAGCTGCATTTCCACCAGTCCTGAGATTTACTGGAGCAGAATCATAAAGTTAGTTTGCTATTTATTTCCACATTAACTCCACTGAATAGGAGTGGGCCAGGTACAAACACTAAAACAAGAACAAACCTGGCCTTTAATCCAAACTCTGAGACTTGACACAAGCATAAAAATGTAATATAGTAAATATATTTTTTTTAATGCTCAATTTCCTTCAAAT